AAATAAGCTGGGTATAATGGCTCACACCTCTAATCCCAGCCCTTTGGCATCCAAGTGGGAGCATTGCTTGAGCCTAGGAGTTTGAGAGTGGCCTGGGCAAGATAAGGAGGCCCCATTTCCACAATTTAAAAAAAAAAAAAAATTAAAAATTAGCTGGACATGGTAGAATGTGCCTTTAGTCCTAGCTGCTTGGGAGGCTAAGGCAGGAGGATCACTTGAGCCTCGGAATTTGGGGTTACAGCAAGTTAAGGTTATGCCACTGCATTCCAGCCTGGGTGACAGAGCAAGACCCTGACTCAAAAAAAAAAAAAAAATTATATATATATATATGTGTGTGTGTGTGTGTCAAAAATATATTTATGACATAAAATGTATACTTACATTGTTTTAAACATATATACGCATATATACACACATACAGAGGGTGACAAAAAAAATAAATCCACATTTTAAGAAAGGAAAAAACTGTATTAAAATTGTAATACTTGACCTCTGCAAGAGGTGCTCAGAGTACCTTGTATTTATCTTCTGCTATAGCTATATATGCAGTATTACAATTTTAAAATAGTTTTTTCCTTTCTTAAAATATGGACACATTTTTTGGCACCCTCTGTATGTATTTTTTCTATTTACACACACAGACAGCCTTTAACGGCTGCGTGATTCCCTCTTTCTGGGATTATGCAAAGACTTAGCAATTTCCCAATGTTAGGCACAGTTTTTGTGAATTTTCACTATAATAAGTAACTGTAATAATCATTCCTATAAATCTTTATTACACACTATTTCCTTAGGGCAAATTTCTAAAAATAAAAGTACTAAATCAAAGGCCTTGAACACATTTTAATGCAAAGTCCTTCCTCAAAGCTGCACTAAATTTCTATCACCTTAGTAGTGCACAAGGGCACCCACTTTACTGTCCCATCACTAAACATTTATCCTCAAAAGCAAAAATTAGTATGAACTCACAACAATTATATAAACGCGTCTCCAAAAAACATCCTCTACTCCCATCCACTCTACCCAGGAAACAAACGCTATGGGGACCAGGAGATGAGCTCTCTTCTGACCCTGATTTGGGCACAACAAAATCAATACATGGAACCAAAAACACTTGTACCCTCAAAATATTTTGAAATTAAAAATAAAACAAATGCCATTGGAAACAAAGAAGACTGCATAGGTGCTAAGAATTTATCAGGGAAATTTTAAAACCATTATTGGAAAAATAACTCAAAAGTGCGTGCTGTACGAGTGGCAGTCCCACTGCGTCGTTTCAGTGTAAGGTCACTACATTTTCATCCTATTATTGAAATATAAAGTTTATTGTATTAAATTTGATTTGGAATAACAGAGACTTGAACTTGATTAACTGTATAAAACCATTCTGTACCTTCCCCAAGTCAGACTGTATAACAGATTAATCTCAATGCTCAGTGACAACCCGAGGTTGCCACATCAAACTCACATTTCACCCTTTTCTGTGCCAATTATAAGAAACCATTTTCTCTATGACCCAAATATTTAGGCAAAATTACTCAGAATTTTAAAAGAAGGAATGTGAAGTGAAGATCTGTATTAACTTCTACAGAAATAACCTTATATGATTTCTGCCCAATATCTGCCAAACATCTTTTCAATCAATATTCCAACAGCGCCCAAGTTTTTTGCTTTTTTAGTTTTAAGTAAAAATCAGTTCAGTCAAAGCGATTTAAAGATAAATTACTTAACGCCAGTGCTTCAACATTTTAGAAATCCTTTGTAATCAGCCTAAAAATAAAACAAAATTACATACTTATCTGATTTCCAAAAAGGAATTTCTATTTTGAAAATTCAATGCCCAACAAATAAATTATTTCTATGTACAAGACAGAAAAGGTCTTGATATATTTAAATACGTTAAAACTCATTAATAACTGATTAGATCAGTTGTGGGTCTATTATAAATTTATTAATTTTAATAAGGTCTGTAAAATTAGAGACAAATTCTACGAATTATTTTGTTAATTGTAAAAGGATGTTAAGAAATGATCAGGTACTTTACACATATATGACCTTATAAATCTCAGCTCCCTGTAAGAATCTGACTTTTTTTTCTTTACAGGGACCATGTACACACACACACACACACATCTAATACACTAGATCAGAAAGCCAGATGTATTATCTCTCTTACACTACTGGCTAGCCAAACCTTAAAATGATTTTTCCTCAAAGTTTTAAGTGCTAACTAAAGCAGAAGTACATACTCTGCCGGAGTTCTCAAAAACTTCCAGCCCCAAAAAGTCACAAAAAGATCTCCCAAATCCTAGACTGTTCACATTCTATACAACTGGAACAAAGTAAGAATTGCAGATTATTTCAGGATAAGCACCAGACACTCTGAAACAGGGTTCAAAGTATCATGAATGATAAAAGGGACTCATTTCAAAAATAGGAAGGAAAAAAACCACGTGGAGTCTACAGTGTAGTAGAAAGCTTAAACCACTGGTGATCTCTGAAATAAACTATTTTCTCTTAATGATGATTGGGCTCATTTTTCCATGTCAGTTCAATGGCCACCAGAAATTACAACAAAGCACATTTTCCCTCTCTTGTCATTATGTGTATATACATGTTATATGTATGTGTTCTGTTTACTGGAGTCTGCTGCCAGGGCTTTTCAATGTGTTCAAGAACAAGTCGCCGATC